ATACAGCAGTTTCTCCAGGACCCCACCTCACTGAGAATGGGGAGTTGTTCAAACACCTCCTTCTGTTCTCCTGTTTAGCACATGACCCCAAGCCTAATTTTTTCAGAAAACAACTGGAGAATTAAGAAAATTAATTATTCCCATTATCACTGGTGCTAGGATCACCCTCAGAGTGTTTCACAGAATGTTAATGAGTTCAAATGATTTATGGTAATAATTTGTGATAATGAGTTCAACTGATGGACTCAAAGTAATGCTGGCACCCTTCAAAGTGCTTTGCTAATCTGGATGCCCTGAGGCTGCCAGGACTTGCCTTTAATATAAGCAGAACTTTTCTAGGACATCACATCATGTCCAACATGAGGTTCGGCTTTCATCTGCAGATGTGAATAAACACCTTTTTGCAGATCTGGACCCAGCTTTCCCTTAGTTGCTAAAGTCTGGTTTTGATGTAATATTCCCCATTGCACAGCAACACAGTTGGACAAGAAGCAGTAGAAACCATTTTTACCTTCATAAAGTGATCCTCTTTCTCTTATACACATTTTCACTCCATACTTTCCAATTTTAACAGTGAATAAGCAAGGTTAGAGAGCCCATAATCTATTTCTCTCTTGGAAAGACTGAACTTGTTTCAGAATTTGAAGGAGACTTTCATAACCTGCTTCGGGTTTTTCAATATTTTTGCATGCTAAACTACTCTGAGAAACCCTCTCTCCCCTATGCAGGTAGTTATAAAGCATTATTAGGACACTTGCACAGTATAAAGAGGGAAAAATTCCTCTAAACATTATTGTGAAATAGTTTTTTTTTCCTTGTACCTCCTAACTTCACAGCAACACATAAATTGGTCAGAAATGCTCAGTGACACTTGCCATTCAGGAGAAAGCCCCTCTTCCCCAGTTCCCAACTTCTAAATGTCCTCTGAACAACTGTCCCACAAAATGCAGATGCATTTTGGTCTGTGAAAGCAGCCAAACCCATGTCAGTTACTAACAGCTCTGAAACTCAACTTGCAGCGCTGTAGCACTGCCTTTGGGGGACAGATTTGACTTGCCCTGTTTTCCCACACTTCCTACCTGCCTTCAGGAATGCTTTTCCACCACAAGGACCTCATAGCAGGGCTTTGCCAGAAGAATCTGAGACACCCCAAGCCTGAACTTCAACCTTTGCATTTGCTATGACTTTAAAAGATATTTTAAAAGCCTGGCTCCTACTGACCTGCAGAACTACCTCCTTTTTCTTTGCAGCCATTCTTCTGAACGAACAAGGGTCCTTTGACCAGCAGTCCCAAGCACAAAGCACTGCAGACGTCTTCTAATTACATGAATCCAACCTGCACCACAGAGAGAGCTTTTTATCCATCTTCACTCCTCCACCCAGGACATACCACCTATGGCAGCATCCCTGTCCTGCTGGAGGGAGCAGGATTAGCTCACCCTTTTCACAGTGGCGAGGTGCTGCTGCAGAGCCTGAATTGCTGCTCACTTGAAGACACGCAGCAGCCTGTTCCCCCTTGCCTCGTGATGGTGGCAGAAGCAAAGGGGCCCAGCTGGGGCCTGGCAGCACCTGTGTGGTGGTTGGCAGCACCCCCAGGCTGCTATGGCACCCAGGCAATGCTGGGGCGGAGCAGCAGCCCAGCCCGCCCCACTCCCTTCTCAGTGTCTGCTGCAGCATTATTCCGGTTGGAGCCACTCTGCCTCCTCTCTGCCTGTCAAACCTGCCCAACTCCCCCAGCCCACCACATGCCCTCCCACTCATTTTCCTTGTCCCTCACAAACTAGGGGCCCAAAACAAGGCACGGGATCCAGACACGACCTCCCCAGCACCAAGAAGACGGCATAAGCTGCTGGCCTCACTCCAAACACGGCTGTTTTCAAAGGTTGGTTGGGGTTTTTTTTCCTTATTTGCAGGGAACAGACAGCGCCTGTGCCCAGCACACCCCAGAGTGATGCCTGTTTGGGCAGGGCTGCTGCTCACCCTGTCCATTCCCATGCCCAGGGTCACTGGGCTCCAGGTACAGACCATCTTGTCACACAGCACACAATGTCTGGTGGCCTGCTCCTCCAGCTGGTCAAGGTCCCTCCTGGTTGAGGATTCAGCTTCTGGCACGTCAACTCCCCTAGTGTCCCTGGCAACCCGAGGGGCACTGTCCAGTGCCTCCAGGGGACATGGCAGGGCTGAGCTTTGGCAGAGTCTCCCCTGCCTCCAGCACCAGCTCAGCAGAGCAAACTGCACCCCTGTATGCCCCCAGCAACTGTCTCTTATTGCAGAAATAAGCCTCCAGTAAAGTCCTGATGATATTAACCTCCACTAGAATTTTGCATGTTTACACCTATCATGTGCTTACATTTTAGGATTACCAAAGACAGTCCTGTTAAAGCCATTTTCTAGTCTTCAAGAATCTAATCTCATGCACCTCAATTATTCTTCTGCCTGCTGTGCTACTGCTTCAGCAGTTTCATGGAGGTACAGCATGTGCTGCAATGGATAAAGTCTGTAAAAAGAAATTTTAAACAATTTGAGAAGTTTGCCTTAAGAATATATTGGCACAAGATGCTTTTGAGCAGGTCACTTATCTTCTTCCACTATTACAATGTACATCTGTGATTGGAACAACAGCTAAATAATGTTTCATTTGACTTACTGTGTGGTAGAGATTTCTCCAAACATGGACTGGAGTGGGGGAGCAACCAAGTGTACCATTTGTCTGACAAGTAGCATGCCAGACTCCATACAGAATTATTCAATTTTTAACACAGGAGAGAAGGACTATCACTGGACCCAGAGAAAACAAGTGGACATATTTATCAAAATTCATTAGGACTGGTTTTCAGAAGAGAGATGGCACAAGAAGAGCAGAAATCCCGGTGATTTCCAATGATGTCCAGACACACTCTATACTTGTTTTGGTTCTGCAAGAAAACCTGTAATTCACAGGACGCTGCTACCTAAATAAAGTTGGTAAAGATCTGGCCAACCAGCAAAAAAGTTTAGTTCCCACTGTGAATCTCAGGCTAGCAACTGTCATTCTGTAGAGAAGCTGGCACAGAAAACTGAGATTTCTCCAGGAAGCTGAGAAAAATCTAGATGTTCTGGTAAAGTTATTTTTATTTACAGTATTCTTCTTTTTGTACATACCTATAGCAACATCAAAAATTATTCACAAAGCTTAACTGAACGTAAAAATGTTCTCATCCAACAGTTCATCCTACCAATATCTGTGGAAAATGTCAACTGTTCTCATGCAGCAATAAGATTGTCTGAGCATTGTTTTTCTAGTTTTTCTGGTAGAATTTTAGGAAACCACCTCAAAATATGTACACAGATTCTTACTCACCTTTTTGTCTGAACACCTTTAGGCACCAAAGTTTTATAGAATCGAACTCAGATTTGCTCTTAGAAACGCGAATTGAGGGAGGATGGGGAAGAGATAGGTAAGAAGTTGAGCTCTTAAAGGTACACAGCAGAAGTGCAAATTTAGAAGTCGGATGCACGCTGTATAGTTTTGCATTTACTGCCTCAGAATTTGTCAGTTTAAGCAAAAATATATTTGGTTTAATTTTATAAATAAGACTTCACTTCTGAGGTATTGATACTTATCAAGTTCTCACATATTTTTACTTTCCCTTTTGTTCAGCCCCCAAAGCCCATAATGAAAAATTTGCAGAAGGACATTAAAAAACTGCCAGTCACTTACTGCAATGCCTGGGGAAAAAGTGTCAGGTGCTCACTTTTATTTGTCTTTCAAGAGTGGAAGAAGTTACATGAAATGTATATATTCTCCTTTGCAACCAAGTGATAACAGTTATCTGATACATAGCACATTCAAATTCCAGGCCAAACTGTGGTCACACCTTCTGACACAAGTAGTTACCTTGGAAAAAAAGTAAGGCTGTCACAATTTGACCTTTTGATTAGAAATAAAAGATTAGATACTTATCAAAATTGGTTAGCAAAGTTACAGACCTCTTTTCTTGCTGCAGCCTTCCTGAAGTTCAATGTAACAAAAGCAAGATTTGGTTTAAGACATTGGCTGCAATCTTTAGTGTGCCTGTTAGTGCTATGTAAATATAGTGTTTGGAGAGTCTGACTATTACCACTATCGTCTAAACTGAAATCAGAAAGTAGACACAAGAAGAAAGCAAGAACCCTGAACTGCATGAAGGAGAGCTCCTTCCTGCCCTCATTTGTTTCTATGCATATTTGACTCCTGAAGCCGCTGGGGTCTCATATTCCAGCCTAACCTCACACAGTCGTCTTCATCTGTACCCTTATTTTTTCCCCCACTTACAGGCACAATTTCAGGAACTTATGGACAATCTAGGCTTCTGAATGCAGTAAAATCCCATCGCTTATTATCCAGGTATCCAAATCCATGCAAGTGTGTATATCTGCTTATATACACAAAATCTGTAGCAACGTTACTGAGCTAAAAAAACCTAACCCAAACCCCCAATTTTTCCATCCCTTCCCCAACTGAATGCACCCAGCAGATCTTTTGTGGAAATAATTTGTCAGTCACTTAACTATATCTGGAGGTAAAGGATGCAAAATAAAAGCAACCCCTTAATCACTGCTTGCCAGCTCCTTCTGGTCTCTTGCAAGTATAACTTCTGCAATACACTGTTTGCTCTACTGATCTTAGTGATCAGCAAATACTTATCACCAGTTAACTAAGCTAATCCTTCAGCCATTATCAGAGCAAGGTCTTGGCTACTAAAGCAATAGCTTATGCCTGCTGATATTGCAAGCCACCTGTTCCTTTCCAGAAAAGACAACAGTCATGCTAACTCAAGTATGAGCTTTTCTTCTAAAAACATAAACCCAAAACAATCCAGTTGACTCATTCCATGAATTTGAGCATGTCACCAGTACCAGGCGACCTTGTATGGTGGTAAAAAGCTCTTGGATCTTGTCAGTACAGAATGTGCTGCTTAGAATTTGGGGTCTAC